CAATTATGCTGAGTCAGGCTTGATTTTTAATAATCTTTTCCTGGTAAATACATCAAATCAAATCAATATTAGCTTTAGGTTTGATATAGGGCAGGTGTTATTACATGAATAATAATAAGCCTCATTATCATTCTGTAAAGACAGTTTTATTTTCTTGTTTATTTTAAAGCACATAACACAAATTAAATGAAACACGAAGGATGTGCCAAACTGTACATTTATATTTGCATTCACATCACTAAAAACAAACMAAAACACAAAAAAAATCACAGGTKTGCTGTGCRCAAAGTGAACACCAGGGGGCAGCAGAGAAAACGACCAAGTATACGATTAAAAATGTCATTATTTTCTGTTCTATACCAGTTTCTATTAACTTTAACCTATTAATAATTTCTRACTGACTTTAGACACCTACTAAAATCTACATACTTAATCAAATCCAATAAAGACTGAAATCAGGGCTCATTTCCATCAATCCAACAGACTGATGCCTCTTTTCCGGTTATTTGTTTCAAAATAATTTATGTGACTGTACAATCCAGTTTTATTACAACTGTTTTTGCCTGATCTAAAAACATTTAAGAGTGAATCATATTCTAATAAATCTAATCAGACTTGGACATCAATGATTCTTCAAGTAAATCCACGTGTACCGCTTTAAAATATCTTTGTGCTTTCATTTTGAAGGCGCACTCGTATWACTTCCGGTGGAAATTCGCTCCAACTTTAGAGCGAGCTACTTCCTACGAGAGCCCATCCTGTTTTTAAAAACGTCCTTTAAATCGGTTTTAAGCCTCCCGCATTAGTCCAGAAACACCAATATGTTTGAAAAAAGAGCGATTTGTTTTCAATCCTCGGTTTTTCTTGATAAATCGTGTCAGAAAAGCCGCTGATCCGCGGAGATGCAGCTTCTCTCTCTGACAGCTGTGCAGACTATTGCACATCTGAATCTGATCTGCTCAACTGCCGATCCGAGTTCGTGGCTCCTCCCACTTTCATTGTGCTGCTTTCAGGGGCTCCTCGGACATATGGAAACCAGTCCTCAAAAACGCGCAGACAAAACGAATTTAAACTAGATATAAATACGTTTTAACAAAACTGGTTTAATAGGTAAATTTAATGTGTATGACTGAGCAGCAGTTCTTATTTATCAGTACATAAATCAGAACATGTCTCACCGTTTAAACGAACGTGATGTAACAATGAAGCTTTAAATTCCCACGCACACACCGTAACTTTAATGTAGCATTAGCCTGGTCTTGTGTTTTGGTGCGTGTGTGCGCGCTGTGTGTGTGTGCTCGCGCCGTGTTTGTGAGGCAGCGAGTTGCGTGCGAAGAGCTCGACATGTCATTCAGAGGAATCCGCCACCTGAAACGCGAGGAAGTCCAGGCGACTCAATTGGTTATAAAGAATCAGGCAACATCTGCAGCGGGCAGACAGCAAAGCGCGGGGGTCTGCCTTTATTCTACTCTATTTTCTTTTATTCCATTCTCCTCTCACTGGATAATAAAAACACCGCCGGAGCATCTTTGACACGTTTGACTTGAATGTGACTCAGCAGCCAACTCTAGGCTGGATTTAATCCGCAGATATTCTGGGTAAGAAATGTTTTTATTCATTTTAGTTTGATTCTATCAGCTGATAGGAGGCACACTGCTTGGATTGGTGCATCTTAATGAGAGAGTTGAAGTTAAATGAGCTGTGGGAGGTGTTTTTATAAGTTTGTGTCTGACTCCCTGCAGCAGCGCACCTGTTGGCTCCAAGGAGACCATGATCCCTCCAGGAGACTGCATGTATGCTGGCAGGAAGAGGAGGAAACCCATCCAGAAACAGTTAAGGAGTTCTGTTTGATTCTGTGTGTTTGACCCAAAACACCTGAAGGACTTATTAAATCTTACTGTCAGAGCAGTTCCAGGTCAAAATGATCAATAAATCAAGATGTTTTTGGTTGTATTTTTACCAGCCGTGCATGTTTTTGTGTGTTTTAAGGTTTATTTTTTATCTGCTCAGTTAATGTCATGAAAAGTCGGTTATATAAGATATTAAAGAGGGAAGTGGAATATATAAAAAAGGCCTGCAGCATTTATAAAGTTTTCATGATTTGCTTCTGCCTTCCACATCAAACTGCAACGCTGAAATAAACAGTGACTCATTTCATTTAAAATCACATCCAAATAAAAACAGTGGTGATAATTTGCCCGCTGTCACTTTTCTATTTAACGCTGATTGTTTTCATGTGGAAAACTTTAATTTCTGTGCCTATAAATGGTATTTYAGAATAAAATAATTTAGATCTGTTTGTGTATTTTGAGCGTAAATTCCCAGAAGCTGAGAGGAGCTGGTTAAACTGACAGGCTAAATTAAAACCTAATAAAACCCGAGTGTTTTCAGATCCCAGCGCCCTGCAGGACGCCACTCCTGACTCTGATGGCAGCAGGTTGGAAGTCAAACGGAGCGAACACATATTTTAATTAAATGTAAAGGACTCATGCTGGGCTCTGCAGTGATAAAAAATATGTTTTTTTAAGA